CCAGGAGGCAGGAGCTGATGCAGAGGCCATAGGTGGGTGCTGCTTACTGGCTTGTTCTCCATGGCTTTCTCTCCATGCCATCCCAAGGATGGCACCACCCACAATGTGCTGGGTACTTGCTCCATCAGTCACTAATTTAGAAAATGCACTACAGGCTGGGTAGTGGTGGCGCACGCCTTTAATCCCAGCACCTGGGTGAGTTTGAGGCCAGCCTGGTCTACAGAGCTAGTTCCAGGATAGGTGCCAATACTACACAGAGAAACCCTGTCTCAACCTTCTCCCCGCCCCAAATCAAAAATGCCCTACCAGCTTGCCTACAGCCTGATCTTAGCTTTTTTTGTTTTGTTTTTGTTTTTGGAGACAGGGTTTCTCTGTGGCTTTGGAGGCTGTCCTGTAACTAGCTCTTATAGACCAAGCTGGTCTTGAACTCAGAGATCCGCCTGCCTCTGCCTCCCAAGTGCTGGGACGCCCACCTTTAATTCCAGCACCTGGGAGGCAGGAGGAGGATCTTTGTGAGTTCCAGGCCAGCCTGGTCTACAGAGTGAGTCTACAGGCTCCAAAGCAATACAGAGAAACCCTGTCTTGGAAAACAACACAAAACCAAAAACCAAAACCCACCACCACCGATAAAAAGGCTATTTCATGTACATTGGTGCTTTGCATGCATGTATGTCTGTGTGAGGTTGTCAGATTTCCTGGAACTGGAGTTACAGACAGTTGTGAACTGTGAGCTGCTACGTGGGTGCTGGGAATTGAACTTGACCCGGGTTCCTTTGGAAGAACAGCCAGTGCTCTTAACTGCTGAGCCAATACCCCAGCCCATGGAGACATTTTCTTATTTGAGGTCCCGTCCTTTCAGATGACTTTAGATTGTGTCATGTTGACATAAAACTATCCAGTACGCTTACATTTTCCCCAGAGCATTATTACTATTATATTCTACCACAATTTTCTTTTTTGCAGGGCCTTGTTCTGTAGCACAGGTGTGCAATTCACTATATAGTCCAGGCTAGTCCGAAATTTAGTGGCAATTTTCCTGCCTCTGCCTCCCAAATGCTGGGATTGTGGGTAAAGCATGCACTATCACACCTGGCATGAATTTCATTTTGGAAAAAAAATAGCCTGAGAAATGAACGCAAACCTCTTAAAACAAAGTTAGTTTCTCCAATACCCTCTGCTGGCTCAGCTGTCTGGAGTGAACTCCCCACTCCACCTGGTCTCTGCATCACCTAGGTTTCAGGTAAATTCCTCATCCTGAGAAGCTTCCTCTATAGCCTAACACCCATCCTCCCCTGAACACTGTTGTTACTTAGGTTCTCCTGCTACCTGTTTGGCCCCTCCAGAGTATAATTTTCTCCAGAGTATAATTCCTGACTGGACCAGGCCTTGCCTTCCCTATTGGCTGCTGTGTCCAAGCACACAGCCCAGTGGCTGCCAGGAAATGCATAGGGGGTGAAGGATCTTGGGTCTGGAGTTCAACGGGGACACTAACGTTGGATGAATTTACCCCAGATTGACTGGCCATGAGTCTTAAAGGGACTATACATGTGTTTTTCTGTCATTTTTTTCCCCTCCAGAAGCAGGTCAGGTGGCTAAACCCAGCAGAGGACTGGTCTATGTGCATGACACTGATTTAAAGCTTGTTTTAGTAACCTGAAAATTACTGAGGATGTCTGTGCCAAGCACTGGGTAGAGTACTGTTTCATACTACCCTCCCAAGGTGGGTAGCCTTATCTGAGTAGGGATCTCAAAGATTCCTGCCTACTGTGCTCTTACGAAGCCAGTACACTGGAAAGACTTCATACCTCAGTGATGACGTGTGAGAATATGGCCTGGATTCAAAGATGGACTTGCCATCTGGATGTTTCTCTGCCCTGTTTCCTCCTGTATAATGGGGCCAATCCCCACCCCTGATCTGTTGTTGGGAAAGCATTATCACAGGTCTGGCCTACTGGTTTTGCACACAGCCACCCAGGCTGCACAAGTGAAGTGTGAGGGAAGCTTCCAGAAAGCTGACCACCAACCACAGCACCTGTTGAGACCACAGATGACATCAGAAGCGAACACTTGCTAATTCATGAGATCAAATACCCCTTGCTAGGCAGCACTACTATCCTTGGAGCCTAACTTGACTGTTCGTTCACATTCCCTCATAGGAGCCATTGGACCCTCACCAGAATATTCACCCTTTGCAGCTAGTTGCATGCAATTCTGCCCTAATTGCATATGGCCCTTGGGTCTCTAGGAGGTGCTAGAGTCTGCAGGCTGGGAAGGACTCCATCTATGCAGTGATGGAGAATCCAGCATGCATGCTGGGTTCAGACTTCCCAGTGTGGCTGCTTAGGGCTACTCTTCTGTAACTCCTCACCTATGGCTCAATTTCCAGGGTGACCTTTGGTAGACTGGAACTTCAGTTTGCCATTGGGACCTTATGAGGAGGGGGATAGACATTGCTTGGTTTCCTCTCAGGGATGTAGCTGGGCAAAAGTTGCCTCATGGCAGTGCTCCTGCCTCATGCCCACTGCATTCTCTTTGGGCCCTTTCCCCATCTTTATATACCAGTAGTGAATGACACACACACACACACACACACACACACACACACACACACCCGTGTGTGTGCGCGCGAACGTGTTTTCAAGACAGGGTTTCTGTGTAGTTTTGTCTTGTCCTGGATGGAACCCAACTCTGTAGACTAAGCTGGCCTCTAACTCACAGAAATCCACCTGCCTCTACCCCCTGAGTGCTGGGACTAAAGGCATGCACCACTGCCGGCTGGCATAAACCCCTTTCAACTAAGCAAAGACAGCACTTGTGGACTCTGCAAGGGAGTCGTCAGAGGGAGACAGATGGAGATACCTGGGGTTGCTTCATGCCTGGATTTAAATAACACACCAAAGCAGCATAAATGAGTTTATTGCATTAGAAAAGATGCCAATGAAAACCAGCAAACACCTCCATATTAGACATTAGTTTGATTCCAAGGAAGTAATGAAGGAATCTCAAAGGAACACGCTTCATTTTATCTAGGAGAGGACAATGGTCTTATGCCTCCACTTCCCTTGTCCCTTGACCAATGGAACTCCACAGGGTGTCTGTCATATGACATGAACATGACCAAGGTCCCTCTCGGCTCGCTTGTACATGCCTAGGTGGAGTCAGCTGGTCATTAATAGTATGCTCCTGAGATATTGGGACAGAGATATGTGACGGTGGGAGGAGGGGTTCCTGGCCTGGGATTTGCATAGGGGAGGAAGAGCTTGCCTTCCTGCAGAGGTCTGAGAAGCTGTCCAGTCCTATCTCCCTGCGAGCCACGGGCACAGGCATCAATACAGATGGCTACTGGACATGACACGAGGCTATTCAAGCAACCAAGTGACTAAAATTCTCAGGCAAACTTCTCGGAGTGTCATGGCATCTGAGTCACTGCTTTGAGGAGGAAAATCAGATGAATCTGGTCATGTAGGAAAATCAGCCCAGCACCTGTCAGGAGAGCTCTAGGTAGAGATGCTAGTAGCTGGGGCCAGGCAAATGAAAAGGTGATGGCTTCCAGCAGCCTCTACCTACCCAGAAGCCAAGCTTTGAACACTCACCCTTCTGGCCCCATTCTGTCATTTGTCATTGTCATGCACACTTGGAAACCATTGAGTCTTGAGACCCATTTGATCCCAACTTTCAAGTTCCAAAACATCACCTGACATCCCAGCTGGACCTGGCCCTGGTTAGGGAACAGGTCAGAGCTTGAGGCAGATCCTGAAGATGCCAACTGATAGGGCTACTGGCGAAGACAGCTGGGTATGGGCCAGTATGAGCCAGCAGCAGCTTTCAGGGAGGAAAGGCTTTCCTGCCCCAGAAGGAGCAGTTGAGCTCAAGTTTCAGAAGTGGCAGGAAGCCATGGCAGGGGCTCCCATGGATGTGGAGCTGAGTCTCAGGTGCTTGCTCTGAGTCCTGTACTCCATATTCAGTCCCCAAATTAGCTAGTAGGAGGCTGACACCAAGAAAGGGAATCTTAAGTTTTTTAGATTCTAGAGTCTAAATCATAAGATTTCTAGAGGATTCCTGCTGATGAATCCTAGCAGCACACCACTAGGGAAATGCCCAACCACACCTCTGAAGGTCAGAATGACAATGGAGATGACATTTTAGTGTCTGTTTAAGACACTTTAAGGATAATGTGAAAGTCTCTATTGGAGACAACTCTTAAATTTTCTTCCCACCTTTACATCACTATGGTATTCTCTTTATATCAGAGATATGTTCCTAGAGGGTACAGTCATGTCCCCTCGGTACTTAGCTGACAAATTCATACTGCTTTGGGTGGCTGGCTCTACTGACTATAAACTGATGTCATTATTTGCAGAGAGAAGACCCAGGTCTCTGCCACTGCAGCCTAGACCTTCGTTAATGGTGACAGGTCAAGTTATTGCTGAGGGAGAACAGCTTAGAGGCAGACAGAGAGGACTGGCACTGAGTCTAGTTGTAGGAAGAATGAATGGCTTTATCCTGTCTTCTCTGCCCTGATCCTTGCTGCCACTGTCCTTTGATCCTGAGGCTATGGCTGCTCCAGCTCCTGCCTGCGGCCTT